TTTTCACTTTTAACTTTGTCTTTATTTACTAGAGTCTTTGAATGAAAAATTGTATATTTATTAACCAGGTGTCTTTTTGAATCTTTATACTGGATGTTCCACAAAACTGATCCAATTACCAACAGAACGAAACTTTCCTTAGGTATATTTGTTTCCATTTCTACAGTTTGTACTGAAGTCTGCAATATTTTTATGAAAAATCTTATTCCCTACTAACCACATGTTTTTTGCAATTTATGTACTGGGTGTTTCATAAAACTGACACAGGTGGACTAGGTTTTTCCTTTTTCATTTAACCAGATGCCTTTTTTGGAAGTTTGGAAGAAACTTTTCTTAGTCTTTCCCCGAGCGGGGCCTACTCTTTTTTGAAAAACGTTCTCATTAAACTTTTATATACGGGGTGTTTAAAAACTAAAGTACAGGGTGTTTCAAAAAATGTTATATTTACTAACCAGCGAGGAGAGCACCGCGGAGCGGTGCTCGGGCCGCGCGCAGCGCGGCTCGAGGGCCGAAGGCCCGAGAGAAAGGTCAAACTTCGCGTCAGCGAAGTTTGCCTACCTTTCTAGTCTATATAATAAAAAACAATTACCTACTTAATATACCATCATGTTTTATTTTACATATGTAAAATACATATATTTTACCTTTAAAAATATATACATTTTTTACTGTAGAAAATTGTAATATTTTACAATGTATTATACATGTAAAATACATATATAATATTTGACAATTTTATACACCATCCCTGCACACAGGCAATCAAAAATCAATACCTTTAAACAAGCAATTCTGGGATGTAACACTAAGTATTATGAAAATTGTTTTCCTCACCCTAATTTAAAAATACTTTTTTTATATGAAAATGTGCCCTTGAAGCTCTTGTTTTTTTGAAATACAGCATTTGCAATTTGCAAGAAAAATTATAAATACCTAATACTTATTTCTCTAAATTTGGCACAAGGATTTAGTCTATTCATTTTTAAATTTTTCTCAAGTAGCGAAATACCTAGGTACTCATTATTATTAAGTTGAGATCCCAAAAGGGCTCATACCTACCTATAAATAAACAGAGAAAAATTTAAAACTGCGCCACAAATAAATAACTTCAGAGAATACAATAAAATGGAATTGATTGTGAAAAAGTGGTATATTAATGCCCTACACTACTGCCATTAAATTTCTGAGTAATGCCCTTCAATGCCATAGTGCCCGCTACTATCGGTGCAGGCATATAATGAGTGCTTATTAATGCCTTAATAATGTGTGTAATGTCGTATCCGAGGCCCTACTAGGTCCCTTACAATACCTGTGCAATGTCCAGTCCAGCCAATCATATATTCATATATTTTGTAAAAAGAAACATTTATTTATTTAATTTCCCCAAATCATATGTTAATCAATCAACGTCAGAATCAGAGTTTACTGCCGTATCAATTGCCTCTAGTCTTTAGATTAATTGAAAGAATTAATGTGTTTGTTACTAATAGGCTAGAAGAAGTTTGATAAATTACTCTCTCGATATGACATTTTGAGGGTAAAAGAACATAGCTAATCGAACTACAGAAATTATATGGTTGCCAAATTGGTCGCCAAATCGACATTTGCAGATATGAGGGCAAGCATGTATATTTTTACATAAGGACTAAAGAGATTAGAGTTGAGGGAATAAAGACTGCATTTAATATGTGCAAAAGCTGCCTGTTTTCTGTGACTGGGTGACTTACATCCCTATTTTATAATTTTGTTTGTGAACATTTTCGGTGACGAATGAGTGAGTGTGTTATGTAAACTGCAAAAAAAAACTAGTCTCAAAATAATGAGGTCCTAAAGTGTCAGTGGGAAAGGCAGTAATTAGTAACCTCTATCAGGTTGTTAGAAACTAACAATACTGGCATATTTAGCATCCTCAAAGACAATTGTGCCAAATTTCAATCCAATATATTGTATTTTGTAAAGTATTTCCGACATCAATTGAAGAACCACGAGGATGACAGTATGTACCAGGTTTGGTCGTTGACGCAGCAACTCGGCATTGAAATATTTGAAAAACTAATTTCCATATTTATTTAGCCATACCCATATACAGGTCTGGTCGAACTAAATGTGCAGGTGGTAGAAATGTATACGGCCAATTGAAGAATGAGCGTGTGGGCAAACAGCAATACGCACTGTTGCTCTGATAGTTGTCGACAAGTCGCCTGGCAGTGCAGTGCAGCAATGCGGAATTTGGTGTAATTCAGATAATACTAATTTATTATAGGCACCTTCTATTAATCATTCATATTACAATTGCGAAAGGGAGAAATAAGAGGGATATTTGGTTTACTAATATTATTACAACATGGCATTTTGGAGACCTTTTGAAAGGTAACTAAACGAAATTTACCATCAATATAATAAAATTGTTAGAGGACACAAATAATTAAAATATGTTGTTCATCAAATGAACATATAATAGAAATTTTCCACACATTATATACAAATTATTATAATTTTTTACCTTTAGCAAAAAACTTTTTTAGGGACGTCTATGAAACTCATTAAATTTGATTGCTCGGTTTTTTTATACATGTTCAACTGACTTCGGAAATACTATAACAAATATTTGTATTTTCTTATGTTCTATTAACCCCTGAATTTACAGAAGCTTTCTCCAAAACCCTCGTAGTAGAAGGGACATGGAAGAGAAGTGGTATCTACAAGTCTGGTCATTATTGGATTAAGTACAATCCAAAAAATAAGCGAGATATTTTTATTTTATATAAAGTATAAACACCTAGCGTAGCACAGGAACAATTTGTTCTCTGGAAATTCGCTAACAACGCAACGTTATATGAATCAGTATCAGAAATAAGGAAGAAGTGACATTTCGTACTAATTTCTTTACAACAAATACCGAAAATGGTTTTAACATAAATTTTAAAACATTAACCATATATTTCCAGAAAATTTCAATAAAACTTCATTTTTCTTATTAAAATACCGAAAATTGTTTTAACATAAATTTTAAAACATTAACCACATATTTCCAGAAAATTTCAATAAAACTTCATTTTTCTTATTTGTTCATTTCGCAGTTTATTTCTTCATACCTAGCTTGATGCAAATATTAAATTATTAGTATCGTTTAAAACGAGGAGAAAACCACTGATCAAAATATGTACACTAAAATACTCACTTTTATAATCAATTACTCAAGTATTACTCAAATTTTAGAAGAGACCAGTGGAAAGGGGGAAATAATACATGCACGCATCGTACTTACGATTTTAATAGGCAAATATTACTAAAGTTTTACTCAAATGTTACCCAGTATTATTAAAATATTACTCAAGTTTGTAAGTAAATTACTCCTGCCTTTCCCAATCAGTTTAAAATCAACTAACATCGCAGCGTACCTGGTTAGTAAATTTCTCAATAAATGACTAAACAAATATCTGCTCGCTGCCACCCTTAGTTTGTGTTTAGCTAGTAGAGTCAGTGTTTTTGGTGATTCTTTGTGTGGTGAAATATCGGATCAGAGAGTTTGCGATATTTTGTGTTAAAAACAGAATGAAGTGCAGTAAAGTTAAAGAAAGTCTTATAGCGATGCTATTATCTCATACCTACAAGTTTATCAACAGTACAAATGTTTTTAGGAATGCCAAGAAGACATCGCAGATGAGGCAAGATCTGGTCAAACGTGAAGGTCCTTCTAACCGTTTTATTTGACTACAATGGAATAGTTCATCACGAATTTTTACTGGCTGGTCATACAGTTAACAAGGAATACTACCAACAAGTTGTGCATAATTTGCATAAGGCAATCGGGAGGAAATGACAAGAACACCACAACGCACCGGCACATACTGCTTTGCTTATCCAACAGCTCTTTGCGAAACACAACATCGTTGGGATGCAGAAACCATCCTGTTATATGAACATGATCCCTATGACTTTTTAGTATTTCCCAAAATCAAAAGGATATTCAAAGGACATTTTTCAACAATAGATGTAATAAAGGCAAAACCGCACACTATGCTCAAGATGATACCTAAAAAGGCATTCCACCAGTGTTTCTCAAACTGGAATCTACATTGACATAAGTGTATGATATCACAAAAGACTACTACTAAATACTTTCTACTTTCTGAGAAAATTAACAATTCCCGTTACCTTTTGATCAAACCCTGTAAAAATTTTTAAATGGAATTTAGTTGGCAAAAATAAAATTTTCAACAAAAATATTCAATTACAGTGAAAAAAAAATGTGTCCTCTTGGGACTCGATCCCATGGCGTCCAGGCGAAAAAAAAAAAACTTACCATAACCCGGAGGTAAATCCAGCTTACTTCCAGCCACAACTCCATTAGTCCCATTACTCTGCTGGGGAGGCGCAGGCTGCACGTTCGCAGCATTCCTATTCCTGCCCGACCTCCTCCTGCTACTCCCGTCCCTTCTCTCCTCACTACCCCTCTGTCTCCTAGCCGCCCTTTGAGGGGCCTGCGGACTCACTACACTCTGAACACTGGCACTTGTAGGCACATTATTTACACTGTTGGAGGTCACTGGAACACTATTTGTGGGCACATTTGAACTACTGATAGGCACACTGTTATTAGGCACATTGCAACTGATATTGTTGGGGGCAGGCACTACTGCGGTCGTAGTCGGCGAGACGACCACGAAGTTGCGGGACTCCGTTTGGGGAGACACTGGACTTGGGACACTGGGTGCTGGTCGGATGGGTAGTAGCTGCTCCTTCTGGGGGCTGACCACTGGGGACACCGGTGAAGTGCTGGACCCTGGGGTGATAGGCGATTGCACTACCTCTGTGTTGTTGTTGACGAATTCTGGTGGTCTAAAAATAGAAAAACAAATCAAAAACCAAGACCTTTATATCTAGTTTAAAGTGTGGGTAGCAAGGTGGGTAGCATGTAACCCACAAAATGTACGTCTTGTTTTAAATGTTATTTTTACTGGTATAAAGTACCTAGGTCTATGAGAAAATGACTAGTGTTGCAATAAATGAAATAAACTTTTCAACTAATGATATTGTGTAAACGACTCTGCCGACTACATGCCCAACACTGAGTTACACCCAGTAAAAAGATCATTTGTCAGCAGAATCTCCAGAGATCAGTAACAACGGTTTTAAATCATTAGACACATATCACATTAATTTTGCCAGTGAATATCAATCTATCCTAAAAGCAGATGATATTTAAGGTAGAGATGTTATTGTATGCTATTTTTATCTATTTTTTCACCAATACACACTTGCCATTGCAAGATTTAACCATTTAGAAATTCACAAAAGAATTACAGACACTCCAGTGGCAGTTCACGAAAATTAAAGGGGTCATACTTTGATAATGTGTGGGACACTCCATATTTTAGACTTTTAGACGATGATTTCTAGACCCACATAGACAACTTCCATGACAAAAAATAGAAAAAGATTGCACATATATTTGTAAAATATTTTTTGACGTAGATATATACGAGGATATATATACAATCAGGTGTTTTTTTCTATCTTATCCATTATCAGTTTGCAAAAAGATTGCACATATATTAGTAAAATATTTTTTGGCAGATATATACAAAGATATAATATACAATCAAGTGTTTTTTCTATCTTGTGCAACATCAATTTTAATTTGATATTAACATATTATTTTCCAAATTTCATAATACTGTAGCTTTAAGAAAAATGAAAAAAGCTAAAATGCCACAAGGTGTTATTGCATACAAAAAAAAAACAAAAGAATAAACATTACTGAAAAATTCTTCACATCTAAAAGAAGTAATGTTGCAATCCGCAAAACTGCAAAAATTAAGATATATGAAAACTCCAGAAAAATTTTAAAATTATGATAAACACCACAGCAAATCCAAACAACCAATAAAATAGACAATTACAGTAACAAAAATTTCAAAAATTTTTTGTAGATATGAAGATTTGAGAAAGAACGAAGAAAAATTAATATGTATTTTGAAATCTACGTAGTAGGTACCAAAACAATCTCGGAAAAATATAAATTGAATTCTACAAAAGGGAAAAATTATAGAAATCGAATGCTCAGAGGTTAGATCTTGAAAATAATCATTTGTAGAGAAAATTTTGACAAAAAATAGAAGGAGAAATAGAATAGATTTATTATAAATATGCCTTCGTTTTAATGGTAATAATATACGAGATTTGTATTTTTTTAATGCTAATTTTATTTCGGAATAAAAAAAATATAAACAGTACACATTTTTTTGCCTTATTTTTTCGAATGTGGTTAATACAACATGAATCTCCTCTACGTAACAAAGAATTAATAGAAATATCATAAATAGAGGTGTCCCAATATTACACCTATAAAAACTTGTGGGAACAAAATAAAATGATTTTACTAATTTAGATTATTGGGCTGCTGTTTTGTTTAGCTGCTAGAGAATGTCGAATTTCAAAATGTGAAAATTTTAATTCTTTCCAAGTAACTCTAAAATGTTTTATCGGATTTATCCAACATTAGGTATGCCAGTAAAGTAATAAAAATCTAAATATGTTTTGTTCCTAATCGCTTCTCCAAGATACAGGATGTTAAAGTGGTGCTTACCAAATCAGTTTTCTTATTATAACTTCCAAAACAGTGGACTTGGAGTGCTGATATTTATAAAATCTATACATAATTGCAATAATTCGAGTAAACATAGTGAGTGTCATAAAAAAGAGGGTTTATCTAAGGTTGCTAAGAAGAATTTATTTTCTAAATTTGAAAATTCATTGACGTATTATTATTTGCCATAAACGTCTGGCAGTTAAAAAGCGGCAACTGTTAGTAGATATCTTTTTGCATCAAGAAAATTCTTTTTCACCTAAATTTTGCAGAAATTAGAGCTATGTAAGAAAAAATTTGAAAAATATAATGAAGCAAATAGACCACCAAACAATCATAGTAGTTGATACTAATGTTGGGTAGGACTTGCATCAAAATTTCTTCTAATTTAGTTGGAATTCTAAAAAGAAAATTTAGTACAGATACCTAATCACAGAACGTTACCTATTATTACGCAAGTGATAGCGCTAGTCGCGACATTTTGATATGAGATGTTTATTTTTGTAAAATATATGACTTTGATCATGCTTATCTGCCAGTAATAGCCAGTAACATGTTTGAAATAAAATCAAGCAATAAAAAATTGATCTACAATTAATGGATTGTAGACGTTTTATATACAAGATTAATTTACATTTTAAGAAAAAAAGTATAATTAATTATCTGTCGCTAGTCGTATTCATCATTTGTATTTTCATAAATTCAAAGCTCATTCCTGGCACATCTGATATAATATTTAGATTTACTAATAATTATTTACACAAAAACATATAAACAACTTGTTAAGAATGAAAAAACTAGAAAAAAAAGACAACTACGATAAAACAAAAGTTAATATTGTAAGATCGCCAGCAAAAAATATACTATTTTTAGCATTTTTTTCATTTCAATAAAAGCAATTATTTGAGAATCTGTGATCGTTCGATCACATAAAATGTCGGTATACTCCTTATCCTTAAAGCATTCATACCTGTTATCTACATTATTATTATCACCATTAACATTAGTATTGTTGTTCAGCCTAGGCCTGGCGGGCCTTATTTTGTTTGTTACTTGTGGCTTGACCCACTGTGTTGATCTGGTTATGTGATTCACGTAGTACAGCCTTCCGTTCTGCGTCCTCCTCTCCTCCCACCCCTGTGGCAAGTCATCGGTGTTGGAATTTTCATGATCGGACGGACCCCTGAGATCACCTTGGGGGCCCACCACCGCCAGGGGGGTACCTCCGCATGGACCGACGCGAGTCAGCAGTGATATGATTATCTGGCCCTTCACCGGCTCGCTGTCATCTTGGGAGGCCTTGCCCAAATCCAGACATTGATCTGGAAAATAAATTTTTTTAGTATTGTTTCGAACTGACTTAATAAAGAAAAATATATGTATAATAAAGCTATGTTTGATATCCAGAAAAAATCTAGACATTCACAGAATCTTATACAGGATATTCAAAAATTGCATACGTTAAACTTTATCAGGTGACAAACAAAATAAAAAACTAAAAATTTATTTTTTATCCTTTACGAGACAAAATGGCAATTATGAATCACAATTATTCAAGGGTGATTAAAACTGAAGCGCCTACATAAAATTTTACTGTGTCTCTCTTGATGTGACACTTTTTTTACTTATTTAAAACCAGAATTTTAAATATTTGAACTTTTTTGCTCAAAAAATATGTAATTTTTAGGAATTTCTGTATCTTGGTATAGTCTTTCTGATATCAATCGAAGAACCAAGAGGTTGACAGTATTTACCAAGTTTAGTCGCTGACGCAGCAACTCGTCATTGAAATATTTGACAAACTTGTTCCCATATTTATTTAGCCATACCCATATACAGGTCTTGTCGAACTAAACATGGAGGTGGTAGAAATTTATACGCCCAGTTACACAGCTGCAATGGTCCACTGGGCAATAAATCTCAGCCGTTGACAAGTGGTTGACAAAGGTTGACAAATTGCCCAGCAGTGCAGTGCAGCAATGCGGAATTTGGTGTGATTCAGATAATTTTAATTTATTATAGGCACCTTCTATTAATCATTGATATTACAATTGCGAAAGAGAGAAATAATATTATTACATGACATTTTGGAGACCTGTTGAAACGGAACAAAACGAAATTTACCATCAATATAATAAAATTGTTTGAGGACATAAATAATTAAAATATGTTGTTGGCCAAATGAATATATAATAGAAATTTTCTACACATTATATACCAATTATTATGTTTTATCTTGAGTAGAAAACTTTTTTAGGGACGCCTATGAAAGTTATTAAATTTTATTGCCAGGCGTTTTTTTACATGTTCAACTGACTTCGGAAAGACTATACCTAAGTATTTCAAAACACTCTGTATACAAAAGATGTAAAAACGTTTGATTCGATCATACAGAATGCTTGTTTAGGATAGCTTACTGATTAATTTTTCATACACAATTCAAACGTCTTATCAAAAAACAACTAATTTTTATATTTTCTGATAGTTTGTTTTCCATGGATACGATACAAAACGAATGGAAGAATTTGAGTGCCTTGCTAATCTCTTATGATGGATTATAATTTTGGTGATAGAATTGAATCTTGATGAAAAATTATTTGATAAAACATTTCTTACTTTTTTGACATCTTCAAATAAGTTAAGTTTATAATTTTCGTGTGACGACCCTGAATATATAACATCAATTTCATTACCACTAAATTAGACGCTATTAGTAAATTTCAGAACGTAATTAATAAAACATTATTTCCATTTGCCCTTGAAACTGGCAAGATATTTAATTAGTAATAATCTTTTAATAAATTATACATTTAAATTTCAATTTTATCACTACCAAATATTAAAATCAATTCTTTATGTACTTATTTTAATTATATAACAAATCTATATCATCTTAAACTGGTTTGTAAGAATATGATCATAGACAGTGTCTACTACTTTCACCCTCAAATTAATTAACACAGATAAAAGTTAAACATTTCGATTAAGATAATCGGAAACCATAAATCGAAATAATTAATTAGAAAACACTTTTATTTACTGCGAAAACGTAAAACTTCTAGGCGAAACAGACGTAATACGTTAATTACTTTACGCTTTTAGAGTTCCTAGAAAACGTTGACCCAGATTACTTACATACATTTTTCTAAATTGCACAATGAAGACAAAGTTATTATGTACCTAGTTTCAAAATATAATAAAACGAAAAGTTAATTATATATGTAATATTTACACAATACTTTATGGTATATAATTCAGTTTAGCTGTATATTAAATGAGCTTTTTCGTGTACATTAATAAATTTACTGCAGGTATATTTATAAATGTCTTTCCTCGTGTCATTCCTTAAATAATTAATAATTAACATCTTATTACGGCATAATAAATAGTTCAACTTGTTAAACAGTACAATATCACAATTGTACACTCTCTCCCAGAATTGTGTCGAGGGTATAAAATGGTAACCGTTCTTTAAATTTTTTATTTTTCAAGAAAAACCTTGTTTTATTAGTCTACTACTAATCCTTCTAACATCGAAACCACAAAATGAACAATTATTGTATTTAAAGATAGTCAAGACATGATAACTACAAATCTCCTCAGTAATGATAAAATTTTTATTTTTAGCTGTGACTAAAGACTAAACCGTCTGTAATTTGTTAAATATATACTTATTTAAAAAATTCAATGCGTAGCTCTAACGGCTATCGTATTCCTTATCAACAATAAAGTGACTCAGTGATAACCTCTTTAATTTTATTCTCATTTTACAGAGAAAAAATATGGAGGAATGCGCAAGCATTAAATTATTAATTACTGCATAAACACAAATAATAATTACGATGGGAGTAAAGGGAACTTGATAATCCGCTTCTACGCTGGTAATTACACTTGACAGTTTAATTAAAATTAATCTATGTTGTAGTTAGATCTTAGAAAATATAAGACGTGGCATAATTCCTTATAACTTCTCTATCTCTGTTAGAGAAACTTAAGAGCAGTTTTACCTTCATACATTAAAGTTAAACATAATTATTGCAGCTCATAATAAAACTTAATTTAACAATTATCGTTTTACTGAAAATGAAAAAATGAATTACCAACTCTAAACTGTGTAGGGTCATCTATTATACAAGGTGATTCACAAATGGCGATCAAAAATGATACTTCGTATTCTTTGATGACTTTTAAGGGGTATTTCCTATAAAGTTTTTATCTAGGACGCTTCATTAAAAAAATACAGGGTGTTAAACTCCAAAAATTTTTTTAATTTTTTTAAGTAATTTAAAAACTAGTAAGCACATGTATTTATGTAAACATTGTTCAAAATCTGAGGGCCTTTCCGAAAATTTACATGCTCCAGTAGCGGAGATACAAGGTATCGGTGGCATATTTTTCTAAATAAAATAGTACGCCACTGCTTTACGGTAACAATCATGATATTTTCGTATTCGTCTTTAAATTTTCTACAAATTACTACTCTCTTGTTTTTCGAAAAAAACCTGATTTTCGAGTAAAACATAAAAACGAACTGAGAACACACTTCGATATGTATTCGAATATAATGCTTTTTAAAATTACATAATGGCTGCTACAACAACTTTGACATTCTGAGCAGTAAGAAGATAGAATAAATAATGCTTTTTATCAAATTCAAGCAACAATAAATTTCGAACAAATTACATTTTCATTACTAAAAAGATGTCGGGCCTGTGTTCGTAGAAATAGAGGTATTTTTGAGCCATTTACTCAAATAAAATCATTAAAATGATGCCTAATGTTATTAATTTCTTTATTCGAATAAATAATCGAATGATTAGTGCTTGTCATGTCATTTAATAAAAGTGTTTTCAGTTGGTTTTTTAAGTTTTATTCGAAAATCAGTCTTTTTTCGAAAAATATAAGAGAGTAGTAATTTGTAGAAAATTGAAAGACGAAAATATTATGGTTGTTACCGTAAAACAGTTGCGTATGTACTATTTTTATTTAGAAAAATATGCCACCGATACCCTGTATCTCCGCCACTGAAGCATGTAAATTTTAAGAAATGCCCTCAGATTTTGGACAATGTTTACATAAATAAAAATAATAAATAGAATTCACCAAAGAATACGAGGTTTCATTTTTGGTCACCATTTGTGAATCACCCTGTATTTTGATTGTGAAGTTCTCTATTTTTTTCAGAAGAAAATGGTACATTTGAAGGTTTTCAAATAACAACACATTTTATTGAAATAATATTTATAGCTCAAAGTAATGATTTTTAATTGAAACATCCTTTATATTTTTACATATTCTGTTAGGGGCATTCTCCGAGGTTTTCTCAGGATGCTATTTTATTTTCTCTTGGCCATATTTCTCTTACTATTAAATCAAACCTAATACTGATTGTGAGAAATATCCAGACATTCCATTTAAGAAAATCATAGGTTAAAACCATATTGTTTTTAATGTTCACATTAAAATATTCTACAGGGTGATTCAGGTTTCATCTGGATAACTTCAGGAATCGATAGAACAGGTTAAAATAATGTTCATTTTTGATATAAACTTATTTCCTAAATCGCATCGTTTCGGAGATAGAGGGTGTTAATAGATTTTTTTTTCCTGCTTTTCCCTCATAACTTTTGAACCGATCCGATTGAGGTGATATTCGAAACACAAACACTCCTTATGATCTTACATAAGCTTCTTAAGTTTGAACCACTTACCCCTCTTAGAAGTGTATTTTGTGTGCTACCCCCTCCTACATTATTTCAAAACTTCAAAAAAATTAATTAATTTCAATAAAACAGCTGCAGACAACTTTTATTTTGAAGCTTTTTCGTCTCTTGTTTTTTTACGATATTTGGTCTTGTTTCTGAGATATTCAATGAAATCCGTGACAGCGTAGCGCCCCAGCCGCGTAAATTTCATTCAACATTATAGCAACCCATGAAAAACAAAAGTCACAGTGATTTGTATAAACTGACGTTTGTGAAAATCATCGCTAAAAGTATTATTTCAAAAGTATTTTTAGTGGTAAGAAAAGGGAAAAAATACCTATTTCAACGGCCTCTATCTCCGAAATTATGCGATTTGGGAAATAAGTTTATATCATGAATGAACATTATTTTAAGCTGTTCTATCGATTCCTGAAGTTATGCAGATTAAACCTGAATCACCCTGTATATAATTTTTGTATTACTTAATCAATTTTTTTCTAAAATATAATCGGGACAATGTTATAGCCAAAATGATTCAACGAGATAGAAAGCAACATATTTTAACATGAAACAAAGTATTTTCGCATCCACATTTATATATTATTTTTAATTTCTTG